CTTCCTTCCCGCAGCAGCCCCTCCCTTCCCGCAGCAGCCCCTTCTTCCCGCAGCTGCCCCTTCCTTCCCGCAGCAGCCCCTTCCTTCCCGCAGCAGCCCCTTCCTTCCCGCAGCAGCCCCTTCCTTCCCGCAGCTGCCCCTTCTTCCCGCAGCTGCCCCTTCCTTCCCGCAGCTGCCTCTTCCTTCCCGCAGCAGCCCTTGGCTCCAAAGGCTGTTACAGGTCCTCAGTCCTGACTTGGGTTGAAGCTGATTTTGCTCGTCTAGCCCAGTTAACAGCAATGCCTGCACACATTAACCCCAGTATGCAAACATGGATTCAATTTTAGATATGTTCAAGCCCCCTTCAACTTCAAACATGCAGGCAATTGCTTCCCTGACAGGAATGAAACTACATACAAGGTTGATTCTGAGCATCTGAAAACATAAAACATCCGATTTATCCTCCAACTGTAATTGATCTTCAAAAATATAAAACTCTCTCAATTTAATTTTTGTGATTCTACATGTAGGTTCAGAATTTTTTCTTGTTTCTTGTATGTGCACATAAGACAAAAAGGACCTATGCACCCTCTGCCTGATGTTATCATGATGCATAATAAAAATACATGCATAAACATAGTTGCTATGAGGTTTTCCAGCCATTATTTGAAAAGTCAGCTGTTTCACAGTCACAGAATCGATTCACTTGTCTTACTGAAGCAAAAAAAAATAATTATTTACTCTTAAAAAATAGTCCAAGTAAATTCAACATTTAAACAATTTTTCTGATGTGTCCTAAGTATCTACAGAGGTCAGTGCACTGGGCTGAGGGCGTCGTAAAGCCTCTGTGCAGCCAGTTCTACCATTTCACGAAGGGATTCGTCATCTTCGCTTCCCGGCTCACAGTCAACTGTCTGGGAACAAGAAAAGAAGCATGTTAGAAAAACTAGCACTTCATATTCCTTTTCAGCACGTGAAGGATGCTCGTAAGAGGAAAGGAAAAAGCAGTCATGCAAACAGAAAAGAACATTCTATATTTTTAAATGGTCTGCCAGCATGTGGAGGAGTTCAGAGAAGACTTGTGTACGTTCTGCTGAGGAACAAAAAGTTTTATGCTAGATTAACAACTTGCTTTAAAACTACTAATGCATTATGTTCTGTAGCTTACATTTAATTTAAAATGAAATAAAACCACTCAAGGTTCAGTCCTTGGAGATTTCATTTTAAGGCATGTTCACCCACATTGTATTAGGTAAAAATTGTAAAACACTTGCATTCATCACAGAGGTACAGGCACCTGTACCTGGGGAGTCTCCACATGGATGTTCCCACACCCATAAGCTAACCTTTACATCAGAATAAAAACCCCAAAAGATGAATTTATCACTAAAACAATTAAAAATGTCTTCTTAGAGAAAGATGCCCACGCCAAACACGCAAGTTTATCAACAGTCAATCCAGTCCCCTGACTGCTCTACCTCAAAAAGAAAGGACAGTATCTCCATAGCATTACTATTCTTGATCTTCCTAGGCTCTGAGATTGTACCATCTCTAATTCAGTATTAACTTGTTACTCTTCTGAACAAGTAAGTCCTTTCAACCATAAAGGGTTTTTTTCCTGGGGGGGAAAAAAGGCATTTGAAAGAGCAAACATGTCTTTAATATTATCTACCAGTGCAGTTAAAAGCTATTTGTAAGGTAACTTGTAAGAACACTATGTTAAGAGTTAACGTGGAAAAAATACATCCACATGTTCCACCATATTGTCAGATCTATACTAAACAACTTTTTATTTAAGATCTGTTGAAGTTTTATAAGAAGATACACATACACACAAAAAAGGCAGACCTTTCTTGTAAAACTTGTTTCACAATGGCACAAGCTTTCCATTCCCAACATGGTATGTAAAGTATTGCTAAGAAACACAGCCTTGCAGCTAAGTTGCTGTTAGTTTTTGTCAGTATTCAAGTCTTTTAACAATAATGTCATATGTAAGTGTAATATTATATGAAAATTAAACCTAAGTTCTTGATTAAGCAGTATGCATTTTTTCCACTCCTGTTACTTTTTTTGTTATTGCAAGAGCTCTTTTAATCAGTCCTGTATTTTTCTGTACTATGCATGCACTGAAATGTAGCATATGCTTATTAAGAGACTGAAAAAAGATGACACAGCAAGCATTGTGTGTTAACCACAAAACTTTAACTCACTATCCTCTTAAGGTAATTAACTTTCACTTGTTTGGCTTCAATAGCTGACAAATTTTGGGCAGGGACCAACCTTTTCTTCTGGGTTTGTAGAATTCTTAAAACATTTGTTGTGGTCCCTCAGGAGAGCACCTGAGAGCTACTCTAGTGGTAATACATTATATAGTTCTAATACATTATTAATAATGACAGAAAGTCAAGACATTAAAATGCTTAAGGACACAAAGGACAGGGCTTTAACCATTCTTTACAGTTCTACATTCTTCAAATAACTAGGTGGGATAGCTTAGCTTCTTAAAGCAGCGTTCTGACATGCATG